CGTGTATAGGCCGCAGCACAATTTTCAGACAGAAATTATAGAAAAAATAATTTTCTTGGAATATTATTTCAGGAGTAGATATTATTCCGAAATTTGGCAAAGTTAATTTTTTTTAAATGAAGTGTGATTTCGAATATTTCGAATATAAGCCGCACCCCAGTTTTCCTCTTGAATTTTTGGCAAAAAATGTGCGGCCTATACATGCATAAATACGGTATATATAAAAACATTCGGCCGTTAAAGGTTAAGTACACTTTCTTCATTTGCAGAAAAGCGTGCAACTGCATGCTCTTTTTATATCTAAGGGCAACCTTATGATGGCCGAGTGGTCTGCACGAGTGCTGACGGGCAAGCAGCCGTCCACAGTTGTCGAGAATTTGAGAAATAGTGTCCTATGACATGTACAGATCAATGTCCAAGTTGCGATGTAATGTCCATCTTCATCTGGAAACCAGCTGCAATTTTTATGCAGTTTACTGTCTCAATTAAAACAAATGGTTTGATTACATCAAGATTTCATGTAACCATATATGCAGTATAATTGTTTTCCATGAAACTGATGTGATATTTAGTATGTTTGTTAAAAATGCATTCAAAATAAACTTCTGTCCCTCCAAAAAAGTTTCACGACTTCCCCATTTCATTTTTCCCAGTGGAGTTTTATTATATACAAATTCATCTATACTCATGTCCGTGTACTGCTGAAATTGTGTAAGTAAAATGCTTTAAACCCAACGAAAGTTATAATCTTTAGAGAACTACAGAAACATGAAATCATTTTTCTTCTAAGACTGGAAAGTCTTCTGTCTCAACCTGAATGTAGAATCATATTTTGACTCTTTGAGTTCTAGGACTTCACATCTTTGTAAATTTTACATATTTCTGTTGGTCACTGTCAAAAGTACCCGAGATATTACAATTTAGCCGATGGGGAGGATCCGAGGTTCACGCAGCAGTGGGATATAAAGCCATGCAATCCACTGAATGTAAACTGATACTTCAGAGGAACATGCCACTTCCATCTTTATTTTTTGCTTGCTGCCTCCTTCATGCTGATTTGTTGCTTGGCTTGCTCCTGAACCCTTAAGATGGAGGCACATGATCCCCTAAATTGTCAGATGACTTTCAACTGTCTGTAGAGCATATCCCAAAACAGAGAATTCTTCAATTTACACATTTCCGCAAAATTACATTTCTTTCTTGTGAATTTTCACATTATTTTCGAGCCCTTATTTTCCCCAAGTTTTTTTTTTATTTTATACTACCTCTTCAAAAGCTAAAATCGATACTTCATTGTGATCAGCTCGACAAGGATCCAACCTGTTGAGAAACATCCTGTGATATAGAATCTGAGGGTTTCAAAGTGGTAGTTAGGAAGAGATCTGTCTCCTGGCATATAATGCCATTAGTCTGCTGAAAGTTAACTGATGTTTTGGAGCAGCATGTCACCCCATGTTCAGGGCCGAGGAATATGCAAAGCAAGAAACCAGCTGAAGCAAGCAGTTTCTTGTTTGGCTTATTCTTCAACCCTGAGGTGACATGCTGCTCTGAAACACCAGCTGACTTTCAACAGACTGCACAGTATTAGACAGACTGTAACAGAACATAGAATGCTTCATCCTATGTCATGATGGATTTGAGGTCCTCACAGCAGTGAGTACAAAGAATATTGGCCTCTGTGTTGTAACAGTGAACAGTTCATGAACAGACCAACATTTCAGAAGGACATATCACCTCCATCCTCAGGGTTAAAGAGCAAGCCAAAAGAAAAACCAATGGAAGCTTGCTTCACTTGCTCTTCAACCCTGAAAATGGATCACATATGTTCCTCTGAAATGTCAGACTGTTTCCGAACTATACAGCATTACAATCCAGAAGACTACATGCTTCATCCCGTTACAATTATGGTTTTCATTCAAGGAGTGGACAACCAGTCAAGTGGTTCTTCACTCTCCCACAGTGGCACATTAAATTCCCCCAGACACTTAAGTGTGTAACTGCGGCATTTGATTTTATAATATTTGCTCCCCTTTTAAAATGCAGTATCTCAATCATGTGTTGTCATAAAATTATGGAACAAAAAGCCACTGAAAGACCAATTATCAGACTTCACATATCTGTANTCCGTAACCGTTCAACTTTGGACATAGGTGTTTTGGGTTATATCGGCATACTTTAACATAAGGAACACCCTCCCGAAGTTTGGTCCATTCCTCCTGGGACACCCTGTATATATAGTAAAATTCCATACTGCTTGCTTTATTCTCAAAAATCCACCACTGTTACCACTGAATTCCATTTCTGTTCAGACTATGTGATCTCATACATGTATGCCTGAGTCATTCACATCCAATATACTCTGTCTTGACCTGGGTGTAGTGTTTAGAACTGAAACACGATCATACAAAGGGCGTTCCATACATAAGGTCTCCTATTATTTTGTGTTAATATGTAATGTCTGAGCTGGATGTTGGTGGTGTTGTAGTAAAGGCTGAACCTTCCTGCCAATGTACTGTTAGTTTGGTTGTCGTGCGACAGATAGCGACAGCAGAGCAGTCTATCAAAATGGCATCTGATATAGAAGTGCATAAGAAACAGAGATGTGTTACTGAATTTCTCACTGCTGAACAAATTGCATCCATTGACATCCATCGACACTTGCTAAAGGTGTATGGAGACAATACAGTGGATATCAGCACAGTGAGGTGGTGGGTAGTGCGTTTCAACAGTGGCGAAAGTGAAGTGCATGACAAGCAATGCCCCGGGCATCCCTGCTCATCTGCCACTCCTCACAATGAGCAGCACCTCGATCAGCTCATCCATACAGATCGGCAGATAATGTCCAGGAAACTGTGTGCATGGCTTAATATCAGCTGTCATGCACTGGAAACAACGTTGGGGAAGCTGGATTATTGCAAAGTTTGTTCCAGGTGGGTCCCGCACATGCTTACACAGGACCACAAAACTTATCGAATGGAAGTCTATCAGGACCTCTTACACCAGTTTGAGACTGAAGATGACAAGTTTCTGGACAGCATCGTCACCGGAGATAAGACGTGGTGTCACCACTATGAGCCGGAATCCAAAAGACAGTCCATGGAGTGGCGACATCCAGATTCCCCAAGAAAAAAGAAGCTCAAGACACAGTCATCAGCAGGGAAAGTGATGTGCACTGTCTTTTGGGATAGGCAGGGTGTGACTTTCTTGGATTTCCTGGAGCCTGGTGAGACTGTCAATTCTGAACGCTACAAGATGACGCGGACTATGCTGAAAGCCCACACTTCCCGAGTCCGGCCAGAGAAGCAGACAACCTTTCACCTGCAACATGATAACGCTAGGCCCCATACCAGTTTGGCGACCACCGCACACACTGCAAAGTTTGGCTGGACTGTCCTACCACATCCACCTTATAGCCCCGATTTAGTACCTTCCATCTCTTTAGGTCTATGAAAGATGGACTACGTGGGCAACATTTTCCAGACAATGATGCTGTCATTGCAGCTGTAAGAGAGTGGCTAGCCTCTGCCAGTGCAGACTTTTATGGGCGTGGCATACATGCTCTTGTTCATCACTGGCAAAGTGCATAACGGATGGTGGTGATACGTGGAAAAATACCTGTAAGTAGCTGAAATCTTGCTCTATTTAACTGTATTATTATGCTTCCTGTATCTGTTGTAGATTTCATTAAAAAAATAGGAGGCATTATATACAGAACGCTCCTCATAGTAGTGTGTCTCGTGAAAACACACACTTCCAACTTGGCTTATTTTGACACTGTGGATCCCTCACTGATAAACAAAGTTTCTTATTGCTGTGTGGGCAAGCTCAAGGCTAGTATGGATGAATGAACTAAACTGTTCTTCCAAACATCACTGCAAAAACATGATCTTTTACAGACTATGAAATCAATACTAAAATTATACCATTGGAAACACTGCTGCAACTGAAGTGGCAGATACTCTCGATACTTTATAATTATGTAGGTTTCAATATCAGCCCAGTGATCAGTCCTAGATTTTAGTTTTAGATTAGGTGTTTTTTTCTAAAAAATTTTGGGCATACCAATTTGTTCCTCTGGCTGTTGCTTCAGCAATGTCTGGCATACAAAACAACTCAAAATATTCCAGGTGGTTACTGGGGTCTTCTAAACCAACCTTTATTGCAGGTTTGCCAATAAATGGAAAATGTGGTCACTCAGCACTTGAATTCGCACATATGCCAGGTTGCATGCTACCACTATCACTGACATTTTCTGCTTCATCACAGTTAACACTTTGCTCACTACCTAATGAAATTTTCACATTTATTTCATTATCACTACTGTACTCACTCTCTTGTAACAGTTCATAAAACATCTCATCACTTACACACATCTTCTTCCTAGGACCTGCCATAATGTTTAGTTGAAAGAACACGAACCCAGGACAGCTATCAAGCAATCAACAACTTCCTGTCACACTCTGAAGTAAGTAGAACATCTTGCAAGCAAAATGTACAAGTTTCCATTTCTGAATGGCATTATATCTAACGGAGTAGTTAGAAACATGCATAACGTCTACAGACATCATGGCCACTACGATATACACAGTACCACATGACATCTATAAACGTCAAAACCACTTGACTGGGTATTCAACATTTATGAAGCACTACAACTGAGTTCATACTGTGTTCAGATTGAAGATTACCTTTCTAACCTGCAAGTAACAAAAAATATTCATGTGTCATTGACAGTTTATTGTATGGACAGTAGTCTTAATATGCCATGACTGCAAGCTCCATACAACTTCCCTATTAGAAGTTAACACCAAAACCAACAGACTGTTTAAGGTCATAACATCCTTACTATAATGTAAAATGCATCATGTACAGTTCGTGAATGTCAATGGAATTAAGTACTGCGAAAATCATAAGTTTTAAGTGAACCAGCCTAAATCCATAAAGAGTTGACTGGCATATAGTTACAAAAGTGACACGATACAACATAAGTACAGCACTTTTAAGTTATTGTTATTACAAATGGTAAGAGTCTGAAAGCTTTTTCAATGTAACAAAAAACACACTTTTAAACTCACAAGGTGCAACTGTTAGAAGACTGTCAATATAGTTTTTCTGTTCTAGCAACTTTACATAAGGTAATTTTGCATGTTCTACTAAGAAAACAAAAAAACTGTATGCCACTGCGTAGAATGCTCCCATTAGTGGCATATTAGCCACTATATACTGTTGGAAATGAAAACCAGTCTCAGAATTTCTACTGTCATCATTCATCAATTTGGATGCAATTACTTATATTTAACTAATCTTTCAATGTGAAGCATATACTAAAATGGTTTTAACACAAAGTACCGAATATGCATTAAATTGTTAGAAAGAAGACGAATTATAATAATGACTAATGTAACTAAAATCTTATAAGGCTCTTCTGAGACATTCAAAGCGGGTGAAACCTTGAACTATGACATAACCACTCTTCTGCATCTATAATTTCAGCACCCTATCCAACGTAACTTTGGCAGATACATTCATTCTTATGTAATTTTAAAAGTTTGCATGTATGAAAGGGAATATTCAATAAACATATTATGTTTCAGTTTTTTCCTAAAGAACATGCGTGTCTCACAGTCCTGACCTTAAATGTCAAGTCATCACATATAATAATATACATAGAGGAAAAAATCATACTCATTAAAGTTCTGAAACCCTCATAATGGGAGGAAAAATGTGGGCTACTGACTTCTTGTAACATAGCATGGTGACCTCACACTTGTAAGACAAAAGTTTTAACCCAAACATAATCTAAACCTACAATTCCAATGAAGTTTCTCACACAATCAACTTTCCCGAAGAGGATGGAAAATGGAAACAACAGATTTCCAAATTAAGTTCAATTCAAATCCAACATCTGATAACAGATATCGATTAAGTATGGAGTCACAGAACTTATTTACATATCAATTAATTTTAACTTGTCTCTGTACCAGTCCAACACCCTTACTCATCATGTTATGTGTTATTCTGCTCAATGCTGGAGAAGTGTTGACATGAAATTCAGTTTTTCTTTTTATTTTCAGACGCAGGAGAGTGACTGCAATTAAAGGAACAAGGGCTAACAACCATATGCATCACATTTCATAAATCATCACATGGTAAGAATTTCAAATGGAAAATCAGTATGAGTCCACTTGGAAGAACTGCACAGTCCAGGAATCAGTTACTCATAAGGTGAAAGAAAGATGTTTCCTACCAAGCTGCAATGTCCTTTCGATTTTAATTACACCTGGAATTTCTAACTCTCTGCCCATCCCCGTGAGGAGGAAACCCCATCAAATATGATGAACTCTAAAACTTCTGAAATTACTGACATCTTACAATCCTTACCACATTCATTTTGTATTAACACAAAAAAATATATGTACATTCAATTAAATGTTCATATGCAACTTTCTTGCATGTGGCAAAATTCTGCACTCACAAAAGTTTCTTAGGCATCATGCTCCTGCTCTGAGAGTTCTTGATAGCGAGCAAACATCATCTTCTTCACACAGTCCTTGTATGTTTCTCCAGGAAGTGCTCCATATGTTCCTCCTTTAGCACCAAGTCCAGCTGTGGTTGCACGATGTTCAGTCTACATGAAACAAGCAGTCAAGTTTTGGGAATAAAACAGCATATTTTCTTGGACCCATGGTAATATCAAAGCTATGATATTCACTTACAATAAAGTTTTCTTGTGTGATCAGGTGTGCAAAAAGTATACAGCAACCAACATTTCATAGATTGTCTCTGTACCTAACTGTATTGTGTATTCACCTTAAACCCAGCATCCTTGTCTGGGTGCATACTACTGGGGAAACAGTGGGTGGAGTCTGCAAGTTCTGTCATTGCACCTTCAACACTGTTTAACCTGGAATATCCAGATGCTGGCTGTCACAGATGATTCTTTCCAATTGTTTCTTAATACCCTGTAGGAGTGTGAGAGGAAAGAAGGACCCATGACAGCCAACCTGAACACAGACACTGGGTTCCAAAATGTGTATACAATAATGGGTGAACACATCACTTGTCACATTAATCCCTGATGATGGTGACAGAGTTCCTGAAATGCTGGACATTACTATTCTCACATGGCTAACTGCCTGAGAAAACTTCATTTTAGGCATGTGACAGTCTCAGACTTTGGAGACTGATTCAAGAAAAAATCTCTCATGTTCATTTACAGTCTTGAACTTATGGTATTTTCTGACAACTGCATCTGCTTTGCACACCAATGTCAGATGTTGAAAGGTGCAAGTATCATATTTGCCTTGGTGGAAGATGAATCCTCCCCCTATGACTTCCAACACCATGGGTCATGTTAAGGGATGGGGGAGGGAAAAGGGGGGAGGGGAGGAGAGGAGAGGAAGACATATATGGTGTGGTGTTAAAGTAGTGAACTTCACCATTTTGAAAAATGTACAGATTACATCATCAGATATATGTACAAATATATTTGCATTTCTCTTGATGGGATGACACGTAACACAACTGGTAATATTGTGGAGAGAAGATACTGACGGCACTCCGATACGCTCCATGTTGGACCTTTCATAGCCAGAGAGCAAATATACTGTTTCGTGGTTGACAACATAACAGAAAGCTAATTAATAAGTAAAAGGGAACAGGACAAGTTCAAAGCTGAAAGATCTAATTTTAGAAAACTCAAAGAGATCAGTATCATAATAAAATGTCAATGACTTTGCAGCACAATAAATCAACTACTTATAATAAAAAATGACTACAAAAGAGAAGTAGTGTAAGGTAATCTTATTGGACCTGGTGTATCCATAAGAGTAGTTACGTTAATTAAAATCTGTTTGGGAGCTTTCTCCCCTGAGGTGTGAAGTGGCCAGGAGGTGTAGCTAACCATTATATCCAACTAGTCTTAGACCAAGAACACATGGACCTACAAATCCACTCACCCAAATGTCTTCGCGCTTAATTAGTTTAGCACAGGGACAACTTTACCTTATCTTGAATGAAGCCTACACTACAGTGACACTGGGGATTCTCTACTGGTGGCACTCTTTTTAAATCTCACCATTCAGCTACCCTTCATTTTATAATATGCCATTAAGGAATTTCCAAAAGGGTGAAAAAAAGAAACACACACACACAATGGCATTAAAAGTGACCCTAAAGACATGGAAAGGAATTTACTGAGTGAGGATACAAGCATTTTTTGTGAGAATGGCCATGAACATTCACATCAATAAATATACAGCCTTAACCGGGTGAACAACCATCAACGGTATAATGTACACCGAAACCCCCATTTAAGGCATCTTTGGGGAAAAGTGAATGTGAACATTACCCAACCAAGTAAGATCTAAATGGAGGAGATTTAATATTCAGATTACCAATGGAAGATCAATAAAATCAAATATCAAATGAGGAAAAACCTTAAATTTAGGAACATTAAATGGGAGTTCTACCTTCTGGGATAAAACATCATGTAGTCCATGGAAAAACAGCTGACATTTCAGAGGAACATGTCACCTCCATCTTCATAGTCAAAGTATAAGCGAAGCAAGAAGCCACCATGAAATCAGATGCCCGAAAATGAAGGTGACATGTTCCCCTGAAACACCAGTGGATTCTGAGTGGACTATGACATTACATCCCAGACAGCAGAACTCCTGATAACCACTGCTGTGAGAACCTCAAATCATATGTACTGCATATAGTTACAGGTTGTGAAGCATAAAATGACATGATAATTACGGATGATGTACTGTGAAGGACATGTAAGGGAGCAACTCTGGTTCAGGCCAGCATCAGTTTGAGGGGAATGAGGCAGAGCCACAAAAACCCAAGTCACGAGAGAAAGTTGAATATGGGGTCACTCAACTATCACACTGTGATATGCACTTACATCAGTTCATTTCAAAATACTTGACACCACATAATTAAACTTTAATAACAAGGCAACACAATCTTCACCCCATTCCATTCACTTCATATCCTTACAATGGATCTCCCTGTGATACATCCATCTTAATGTTTTCCACCCATCATATTCTGGAACTTGTAAATGGTAAATTTCATAGAAGTTGCCTCAGCAACATTACTGTGCAGTCACAGTTAACTTAGATTTAAATATAGTATGCTGCCCTTCAAAATATAAAAATAGAAATTGAAACCATGTGGGTAATTCTGTGCACCATGACACTCAATGAGCAAACGCCAGAAGCGAGCGTCAACCCTAACTCTACTTCAGTTCTGGCATGTTGGGGAAAGGAAGACTAATCATCGGAACATCCAGGATGGTGTTTTCCTTTTTCATTCTCATTCTTCTGTCTCTCTATTTTTATGTAATTAAAAATTAAACTGTTGTACATTTGATTTAAATATACAGTCATTACAAACTGTCACGATTTAGTGACTACACACGGGGTTTTGACTGGTAATTCGATTTATTGAACCCATAACTACAAATAATTTTATTGCTATTCCTAACCTATACTCTTAACCCTTCAGCGTGGGCATTTAAATATCGCTGTTGTGGGGCCTCCTGCGGTAGTATTTTTTGATTGCCCATTTAAATTTTGCTCTAAATTTTATTATGTATCATAACTTTTGAACTATATGAGGTATAATTATGAATTTTTCGCTGAAATCATCTTAAAAGATGGTTTTATAATCTTACCTTATAATATGAGTGCCCTGTATCTGAGTGATGGAAGCAAGTGGATTAGAAGTCGAGTTTCATATGGTATTTCTTGAAACATCCATCTAAACACAACCCTGACTCACATTCACTACACCAAAAATAAATTCTTTCCTTTTACCATGTTTCGCGCACATGATACATCTCTTTTGAGGCTTTGCTTTTTTCCTTTGGCTGGAATGCGCTCCAGGAAATGTAATTCTGTGAGTCTTTTAGGCGGCGGCTCAACTGATGGCCGGCCGTATACAGGATGAGGAAAACCAGATCCGTAATTTTCCACGGGACCTTGTGCTAGTGAAAGTCTGAACTTTAGCGTGCCCATGTTTTTGTTATTCGGGAGACACCGATATATGACCATTGCATTATGTATTGCTACATTGAGTAGCCTCTGGAATAACTTCTGATACCACTGCTCTTCTTTCGTTCAAGAAAGTACAGCTGTAGCATTTGATCCGTCAGATCCACTCCTAGCATGTTTCTGTTGTAATCACAAACAACCAAGGGCTTTGTTTCTTGTTTGTTTGTTTTATTCACAACCACATGCATATCATCTTTGTGGTATGTTGATATCATAGTCACTCGGCCATTGTAACCGTGAGGTCAGTGTTCTATTTAGACTGACTGGCAGAGCTGCAGGAAATTGAAAGTTATGTTTACATGAACAGAGAGTGCATTCTTTTCAAAACAGCCCGGTGCAATCATCATCATGCTGGCATGGTTCGTTCCATATTTATGGACCTTCGAAATTAGGCTTACAGCTTGGCGTACTGTGTACGGCAAACCGCAGGTAGGACCCTTTTAAATACCAGTGTACCGTGTATGGCAAACCACGCTGAAGGGTTAACAAATCACTACAGAACAGGCTGTCTCAGTCTGTTATAGCTTTCACTAGTCACTACTCAATTACGATTCTTAGCAATGGACATCCTTCTGCTCTCATGCCTGCTGGCTGCCTACCATCTCACAATTCATGATGGCAACTGTCATGGCCACAACTGACCCGTGATGGCAACTAATGGCATCATTGGCCAATCCTTGTCTACTTACTCACTAATTTTCCTCACCGCTCCTCATTATATAGCCTGGGGTCAGACTGCATAGAAACCACCACCTCCGCTGGCTCTTCTACTACTGTGTGATGTTTGAGACAGCCTCAGCCTAGCAACAGCTTGCTTGTTTAATGACATGGAAGCATGTTTACTGGCCATTACCTAGCAATGGTCTTTTATCATGGCTCCACTATTCCGGCTTCCACCATTATGTCTCACTGATCCCTCCTTAAGGCTCCTGGTCCCACACAGCCTACAGAAGTATCATAAGTTCTCCTTCTGGGCTGTGGGGACACAACTTCCAGAAGTGTCCTGTGCTCCTACAATGCCAGCACATAAGCTACCAGTAGACTCTTCTTCCATTTGGAAGGGTGAAAGCTCCTTGACATTGTCCTGTCACTCATGTTCGGAGCCCGAGGGATGATCCACTGCCACCTCCAGCTTAAGGGTCTGCCTGAGGGCCTCACTGAGTGTTTTCTCACCTAGCAGAATTAGCTGCTGTTTTATGCCTCAGTCTTCATTTCTTCCATGCCAGTCTCAATTTTGGCTCTCATCTCTTCTTGCCTGATCTTTATCATTGACTCTGTCTTTTCTACACAGGTCTCCATTGCTCCTAGGGAGTCCTTCATCTTTTGTAGCCAAGCCTTCATCATGGTCTTCATTTCTTCGAGGTTGGCGTCTGTCTTCTGTTTGCCTCCATTTTGGCTTTCATTTCTACTGGATTGGAATCCACCTCTGCCAGTAGTTATTCTGTCATTTCTTCCTTTTTCATAGTATGGCAATATGGCGATCCAGTGCAGTCTCCAATCTAGTCCAGCTAATCCAATTAATCCCACTTCTGCCACCAGCTGTCAAGATTCAGTCATCAAACATGCAGTTTGGATTGGTAACTGGATTTACTGAACACTTATAACTTGTAACTACAGGTAACTATAACCATTTCATAAATCTACACACTCTACAGATCACTGTAAGTGCAGCACACATGAAATCTTCTATCTTTTACTAGGCGCTGCTTGAAGGTTTTCTGCTACAGTGCTCATATCTTCAATGGATGGCAGATGGCTATCAACTAACTTGCCTTGCCATTTCTTGCTATAGCCTCGGGTCAGATCACACAGAAAACACCACTTCCAACAGCTCCTCTAGTGTTTGATGATGAGGGAGCATGCTTACCGGCCGTTACCTAGCAATGGCCTTTTCTCTTGGTTCCACTATTCCAGCTTCCAGCCATTATGTAACAATATATTATTATACACGTTACAAGGTACATATATTGCATATACTTTAGGGGAGATTTAAGGGGTTTCAAGCATAATACTTATTTTGGTTTAATGGGCTGTCTTTAGAATGCAACCCACATTAGAAGTGACTCCACTGTAATTACTTAGCAGAAACTTTACCTTACTCTCCAACTTATTTCATACTTACAACTGCACTATATACAAACATTATCTTGCTTCTTAATTCTCAGATTATCATCAAATGGAGGGCATCATGTACACCAAGATGTCACAATACATTTAAGCTAGGAAACAAATACCCACTGTAGCAGCATCCAGCGACAGCCCACAGCTCTTCTCATTTCTAAAGCATGAATATATGAAAAAGCATACACTATTTGGGCCCAAGATGAAGTAGGGGAAGAATGTAAAAAGCTATGTAACAGCAAGGTTCACAATTTGTGCTCCTCACCTAGTCTGCTACAATGATTAAATCAAGAACGTTCAGCTGGGCCAAAAATGTAAGTAGACTAGGAATGAAGAAAAAGGACCAGAAGTTTGACTGGGGCACCTTAATGGAAGGATGTAACTTGGAATATCAATACAGTGACAGGAGGATATTACTGGAATGAATCAGAGGAAAAAAAAAAGTTGTAAAATATATACTGGATTATGTTGGCTCGATGATTTGAGCCAATAAGCTTTCACAAATGCCTGTGATAAAGCTTTGGTTTCCATTCGGCCAGAGAATTTTTTGAACAGCTGAATAAATATTTAATGCTCAGAGTGACACAGTTTTTATCTTTTGCACTATGTAGTAACTGTATTTATCACTGGATTTTAGTTGCACCCTCAATACTTTTACAAACAGAAGATTTAGAAAACACTCTATCAACATGAAAAAGATATTTATAAAATACTGATCATAATCATTACTTCACATGTCAGATTCAAATGAGAACATTCGGAAAATGTCCCATACAACAGTAGATTTAATAACTTTATATGTAATTAGAAGCCATCATTGAAAAAAAACACATACCTGGATAATAGAAGTACGACCCTGGTTCGATTTTCCTAGACCCATCCCTTCCTGCCAACCCATCTTCTGAAGCAACTTGTTACCAACATTATCAGATCCAATTCCAGTCTTTGTTGGCTCCTCATATGAAACAGAAGCAGCATCCTGTCTTGTTTTCAGGTACTTCTCCTGAAACAATTATCATTTCAATCCACATTTGGATCTTCCCCAGGCATTTTCTCAAATATACTGATCATTACTAAATCATCATAATATGAGTTCATAATAGAATTATTTTAAGCTTAGGGATAAAATTATTTAAATTAGTATTTGTGTCTTGTCAGGATGATGTGGGTTTCTGTGATGCTTGTCATGTATTAAATGGTGATAATATCTTCTCAGATTCATTGTTAATGCCTGATTTATCTGAAAATAAATTTACACGTACCATCATAATCCGAGTTATGAGTAATATGCATTTATATTGTAACTATTCCTATATCTATGTTCTTCAATAATTCTGTCATCATTTGTATCAGAGTCATTTTCCGTTAAGGTTTCCCTTTCGTTTTTTGAATCCTCTTTGAATTTGGGGGGTAAAGTTTTGTTTTGAGTGTATTATTTCTTGGTGATAATGTTTTTCTTTGGTGCTCATAGTACAGTTTTTAATTATTGGTATTTGTTTGGGTGTTTGTTTGATTAATTAGGTAAATTATAGAAGAATTCTTGTGCTCATAAGGGTAGCATGAGTTGTTAATACCAAAGCTTAGATGATTTTTGCATCAGAATGTTTCATGCGAGCTTTCACAACAAATAGATTCTAAAGTGTCCTGATGATGGCATATAATACTCAGAATTACTGGTTTTCAGACTTCATCCATCATTTAGTATTCTAGAAGCTAGAAAAAACAACCAGGATCTGATTCTGAAACACTGTTTCTCTACTTTTTAGAATGCCAGATGATGGGCAAAGTAATTCTGAGTTTCACAATAAAACTGGTATCTTACAAACAACTGCAATTAAATCAATAAAATAAAACATGTGTAACTTTCAAAACCGAAGAAATAAAAAATTAATCGAAATCTATGGAAGTATGGTCTGATACTTACTTACTTACTCATGGAGCTGAGTCCTTCTGGAGGAGCCGCCACTTCTGCAGCTACTCAAGAATTTCCCAGCATTTTATGGAACCTGAAGGTTCATTACCATGTTCACAAAAGCCCTCCACTGGTCCCTATCCTGAGCCAGATCAATTCAATCAATACCATCCCATTCTCTCTAAGATCCAGTTCAATATTGTCCACCCACATACACCTTGGTCTTCCCAGTGGTCTCTTTCCTTCTGGCTTTCCCACCAATATCCTATATGCATTCGTTTCCCGCATTCGTGCTACATGCCCTGCCCACCTCATCCTCCTTGACTTTATCATTCTAATTATATTTGGAGAAGAGTACAAGTTATGAAGCTCAACATTATGCAGTTCACGGCACAGCATGTCCCCAGATTGCAGATGGAGGAGATAACCTCCAGTTTTGGAGGGAAGCTCTGAATATATTGAATAAGCAGTCGTGGACAGCCAACAAGGTGTGGCCCTCCAGCTTGGGGGTTGGGGGTGGGGCTAAAAACTCCTCACCGTAAAAAATAAGTATGTTACGAAAATTATGGCCTGATATAAAAATAAAATTAAACTATGATTTATAATAATAAAAAGATAAAATGTCTTCTCTATTCACACTGAGGGGGCATGCGGTAGCATATTTGGTTGAGGCACTATGCTACAAGCCAGAAGGTCGCGGGTTCAAGTCCTGATGAGGTCATCGGATTTTTTCAATTGACCTAATCCTTCCAACTGCACTATGGCCCTGGGGTCGACTGAGCGTCTAATAAAAATGAGTATGGGGTAAAGGGCGGTGGGCGAGTAGGGCAGCCAACCTTGCCGCAGTCTATGAGCCGATTGCCTAGAAACTTCCAACTCTTCAACATCTCACAACCCTATGGGCCTCCACGGTCTGTCAGAAGGATACCTTTACTTTACTTTACTTTACTTTACTATTCACACTTATTTTAAAAACCTATATATGTATCATTGCTTTTGAATGCAACCGTTCACAATATAAGATATGTTGGATTCTTGAAACCAGGACACACACAGTTCCACTTGACACTTCACTTACACTCTCCACAAGTGACAACACAAACTGCTTTCTGGGCGGTTATCCCTCATACAAGGTGCTAAAGAGTTTGCCTTCCTTTCATACGAGGATGAAGGCATCCAAGTTTTCTTATTTCTAACATATTTTTCACCAACAGAAGTCAAATTCTGAATTGTAATACTCAGCACCACAAAATTCCAGCTGGTTGAAACTATAGAGAATGTTATTACTGGGTTTTTGGACTTTGTCCATCAACTGGTATTCTAAAGAACACTAAACAACAAACATTTCAAAAACTGATGTTTCCACCCTCAGGTGAGGTGACCAGGGACACCTACTATGTTTGGTTAGAAAGAGTGAGTGAGGTTAGGTCTTTCCAATGGATCCAAAAGAGAACGTGTCTCCCAATCCCTTACCTGAGGATGGAAACAGATCCAGTTTCCATAATGTTGTGTTCTTTAGAACACCAGAAAATAGACAAGGTCCAAAAGTCAGTAAAAGTAAGTAAAGCTATCCTTTTACCAGGCCGTGAAGGCCCATAGAGTTGTGAGACGTTGAGGGTCCCACACTATCTAGACAATCGGCTCAAAGATGGTGGTAAGGTTGTCAGCCTTACACACTGGCCACGCTTTACTCTCCAGGAAAATTATTTAATTAATTCCTGGTACTCATTTCTGTTAGAGGCTGAGTAAACCCCAGGGCCTAGTGTGGCCGGAAAGATTAGGTGAACGGAAAAAAAATCCAATGACCTCATCGGGACTTGAACCCGTGACCTTCCAGCTTGTAGCATAGCCCCTCAACCAACTATGCTACCGCACACCCCACACCATTGTCAGAACCCTCTGGAATGGACAAGTCAAGTAGATGGTGGCAAGGGATATTTTATCCATTTTGAAACATGCTACCTAGCAGAATAGGTACATTTCACTCCATTACTCTTTTCTAAACACCCTATATGCACACTGTAGTTGTCAATAATGACTGATTCACAATGCTACCACATTCACTACAGAATTTTCCTGCAGCTGAGAGTTTGCACATCACAGACAATATGTACATTTTTTTTTCTGCCTTCCCATATCATTACTGCAAAATCTCCCAACGATATAGCTTGCATGTCAACCTGATGCAGCATGACGATTGTGAATAACAAATTTAAAATTATGTGGCAGGAAGTGGCTGTGGCCAAATTTGTGATTGGTTGGTTACTTAACACTGTCAGCATAAGAATATAGAGCATCAGATTTTTTTTATTGCTAGTGGGGTGGGACTAAGTCCCTTGTACTGCGGTCACTTCTGGCCTATTGTACCAGCCCCAGATGATAGGTGACGGTGACTGTGGAGCAGTTGGTGGAATGAAGATTGACAAGGGAAACCGAAGTACTCGGAGAAAACCTGCCCCAGCGCCACTTTGTCCACCACAAATTCTTTTCTTTTAAGATTGCCTGCAAACTCCATAACTGATGCCAGCAGTGTCTGCAAGTTCGTGCATTGTTCAGTGAGTCTTCGTTGATGAGTTGTCAAATTTTTTCAACATGACACTCGAAGTGAGAAGCCTTAAGGAGATTGGAGCTGGAAACAGAAGCACAAGACCCAGCCCACAAGGAATGAAGACTAGACAATGTCAAAATCATAGGGTAAAAAATTAAGACCAGTACGACACTGTGATGCCACTCATCAGGGCGATCAGAGACCTCACAGACATGCCCCCCTGGAACAGGAGAAATGGTGGGATACCTGTAACCTCTTTGAGACAAGCAGCTGTAAGGAAGAGGCAATGTTACATGATGCCTGACGCCTAGAATAGCAGAGCCAGAGGTGACAGCCACTGTTAGGCAACGGCTTGGCAAACACACTCCTGGGAAATGGATATGTAAGCAACAATATAAGAACTGTTGGAAGCAGTGTTTTCTGTGTGGTCTATGCCAAACGTTATATAACATGGACTAACAAGACAAGTCAGTCAGTTGAAAGCTCTTAGCTGACAGCCAGTCAGGAGTAGGCACTCACAGTTGGTGGTTAGCAGCCAGCATGGAAGCAAAGGAATATGCACTGTTAGAAGCTGCTACCAAGCAATGACTAATGTTGATATAACAGTCTGAGAACATTTAGTGTGTGCTGTAGTGATTTGTAGAGCATATAGATTTGTGTTATATTTATATATTTATATATAAACGTTCAATAAATCCAAGCCCTGTGTCTAGTCACAAGCACATAATATTTTTCATTTAGTTCTTTTTATATACTCACAATGAATGATACAATGTAACCTCAATATTAACCTTTAATGGCCGAATATTGCGTATACATGTCGTAAGCTGTTGGCCGAATGACTTGTGTACACATCGCAGGACACATGCTCTCTTTGGGAGTGCTGGCAGTTTGACCTTGGGTTGGAAACCAAAACAAACCTACACGAGGTCATGTCAGTGGTTCATTCCTTAGCACTGAACAAAGAAATTGTTTATTTCGGTCCTGGTTTCGATACTATTTACGTTTATATATGACTGTTTATGACCTGCTCAGCCAAATATAGCCCAGCTTTGTTTCGAGAACTGATGAGGAAATATTTATCAGTGCTTGGATATGAGCTCTTGCAAAGCCTTCAAGGAAGTCTGACGCATTCGAGGATTGGTTTTCAGTGGTGTATTATCAGTCAGGAAGTCAGTGACGGATTGTCTAATATTTCTTTATCAGTTAGAAAGTCAGTGTCAGACTGTCATATATTTCTTTATATATCCTTTTTATTTTGCATCTTGGAAGAGGTATAAACCCAGAGCCAGTATTACTTTCTGAGTAAAGCCATCTTCACCACTGCGACTTTCAGTATGTGTCGGACTGGCACTCTTTTCGACTAGTATTATAATTACTTTGAATCACTATTTTGCGAATATTACCAACAGGTGAGAGTGTCGCTTTGTCAATCAACATAATTTATTCGATTTTGCTAGAAACCCCCCTCCCCCAAGATGATTCTTCAATCGCACAAGCCAAATATCACGGTCAGTGGCGTTTCTCGGGGGAAGGCCAAATT